CTTTCTTATTAGGGTTAACACCTACACTGGGACTTGTCTCGAGTTAAAGAACCTGTAAACTGGACTTAGGGTATGATTTTTATGTCTAAGACGTCAGAGGTTGGATGCTGCCTCTTCTGGGGGTGCACCCCCTGCGAGGGTCCGTAAGGCGCTACACTGCTGCAACGCTTTCCGCTCTCGTTCATAACAGCACATGGCAGAGCAGCGGTAGCAAAACCGGGCTTTTCCATGCAGCAGGAGCTACAGAGCACCGTGCTTGGGTGGCATTGGATTACCGCAGTTTCTCTTCTGAGGGAGCGGCGAAGGCAAATGCAAGCGTACCAGGAGCAGCCGTGGGGTTGGGGGCATCATGCTCACCAATAGCAGCAGTTTCACTGCCAGGTGGGGCTTCAAAACCCACAGGACCGTCAACAGGAAGTCTGTCTCCCTCAGCAGCAGCAGCTCTGGGGGTAATAAAGAGCGCTTACGAACAGATGTGCAGGAGGAGTGTTTCCCTCAACATACATGTTCACCATCAGGCCATTAGGACGCAATCACCCAAACCCGCGGCAGCAGCAGCGACTGTAGCTCGATCAAGCGCTGCAGCCAGACGCGCAGCAGCATCGCCCCTTACGTCGGCAGCATCATCAGGCGCTGACAAAGCAGCAGCATCACGAAAAATGAAGCAGCTTACTCGTAGTGAAAGGCGATCATTCGAAGGTCATCTTCGTCGGTTCCAGTTAATGGGGGACAAAAGTGAATTTCACCATGTTGACAGGAACCGGAATGGCAGAATTTTCGAGCCGTACCACATTTTTTCGCTTTCGATCACAACCAGCAAGAACAACGTACACTGTGTCGTGCGAAATAATAGCAGCAACAAGCGAACAGTGTTTGCATCCTTTGCGGGTAAGTTGCATTTGTTGGCAGACGCTGCGAAATCGTGTACAGAAATAGTTATGAATAATCTTCGCGCCCGAATAGTGTTTAATGACTATAGATTCGTAGCACGAAGCCAGAAAGAAGGAGCGAAATGGAAAACGGCATAAACGGCCCTCGGACTCCTGGAGGGAATGGGAAACAGTGCATAACGCATTGTATTCCGTTTTTGAGTTGCTAAGTACTTACAGTTGCCTTTAGCTTGGGCAATTCTGCAACTTCGTTTGGTCATCTGTGACACAATATTATTATGTAGAAGCCCAACAGAGGCGCTGGTGCAGCAGGGGTTTCAATGGCAGTCGTAGGATGTGTATCTGTTCTTTTTCACTGTTAGAGGATTCCTTATTCGGCACCATGACTTATCTAAGCTTTCCATTGGTTCGCCGTATTTGTCGAGCCACAAACTGGTACACACAGTTGTTCGTTGTTGTTTATCCGACTATATTTGCATATTCAAGATGCTGCTGGTTTGGATCTTTATTTTAGTTGCACCAAAATGGTGAGTAGGGCTATCGACCTCTACGTCACCATAGTATTTTATTTGGTCATGCCTGCTCGCTCAAGTGTGTTCCTTGCTAGTTCCTTTGGACAATTTTAAAAGGCCGTGAACACCTGTATACAGCATTAGCTAAGTACTCTCAATTAAATAAGTGTCTTTTTTTGCCTCAGGAAACGTCGGGATACGCAAGAGCGCCCAACAGTCAAACGCGTGTGCTCTTCGCATAGGAGAGAACATAGCACGAAAACTCCGCCGCCTGGGAGTTGGTGGTGTTTCTGTGGAGTTTAGGAGGATTGCTCGAGTCAGTGCTGTTCTTAAAGCACTTACTAACCATAAAATTCATGTCTACTCCATCGCGCACATACCCAGACTGCCCACATGTGGCCTGAGTGCCAGAAAACCCAGAAAAAGAAGAAGGGTTTAAATTTGTTACTGCAAACCCAAACACATGCGCTGTTCCAGGCAAGGCATGCCCGCCTTGGCTAGGTAATTCAATTTTTTTTTGATTTGAAGGGGCAGTGAGCCCTTGGGCATTGGAAATAGACCCCAAGGGCAGCTTGACGTTGTCCCTATCTCAACTCTTTCGCACATGACTGGTCACGTTAACGGGCCAGTCTGACAGCAGGGACCCGGCAGTTAACAAGGTTTTGCCTTGGTGTATGCAGAGCTCCGAGCATCAGGAGCGGACACTAAACTTTACTGCTACCGCTGAAGCATAGCACTTAGGATAGTGCGGCGTTGTGCTGCAGTTGATCTTGCTAAAAGCAGAAGCAGCAGAATTTAATGCTTCTCATGCTCAACTGCGAATTTCGATCCTTTCTTATTTTCATGGTGCAGTGCAACGGCAGGGCCTGCAGAGCCACTACAGCTGCTGCGCCATTGGAGACGGCTCACTGCCATGGACCCTGTTCATGGTGCTTTAACTGCTATTGAGGCACTGTTGGTGAATCTGCTTTTGCTGCTGTTGTTGCTATTGCACGCCTTATGAGGCCAGCGAGTCACTGATGGGTACAGAGCAGTACCAAGCTAACGCCAACAACGAGGGAGCAACAATGAACATCTACATGGCCCAGAATGTGTAATAACAATGCATACAGCCTAGCAGGTCGGTTCAAATCCGCTGAGACTTTGGAAGCCCCCTCAAGCTGCATATGGGCTATTCACTCGCTGAAAAAGCTTACCGTGCGCAGGGGTCCGCGCTGTCAGAGGAATACGAAAGCGGGTGTTTATACCTATAAGCACATAACCGACCACCCCTGCCAGGGGGCATTTGGAATGACCTGGTGTTTGCACCACTCCTAGCTGACCGTGCCCCGTATTGCTGCAGACAAGCGGTCAATTTACCACCTCAATAATTAACGCATAATGGTTACAGGAACAGAGATACCTAGAACGGGAGACCTAATATCCAAAGCATTGCACAGAGGTCAAAATCTGTTTACCGTATTGTAATCCATATGCTGCACCTCCAGCGGAGTTCCCCAGCTTTTGAAGCGGACAGTGTTGCATGTTCACCGTTTCATTGTATCTAATGTTCTTGCGTACTAGCAAGGCCCCAAGCATTATCCTGCAGGCTTCACACGGATACAAGTTGACGACGGCGAAATCGGAGTAAATAGAAAAGGATGAAATGATGAGGAGCGAGTATGATATGTCTCACAATGTGGCACCGCGTGGCCACTGGAAACCGATACGTGCGAGAGTGCGTATTATAACAACTTGCAGATTTGTTCACAATATGTTTAAATGCTTTAACGTGCCACTTGAGAAACTCGGCTGGAAAATGCACGCCCTGCTCGGCCCTTTAATATTATCTGCATCCAACCGCTCTTGAGGCAAATGACGTGAAATACTACCATTGGCATGGTCCGGCGAGCAAACAATAACAGCGGCAGGTGCAAGATATTTGACCGCCTTTACAGAATCCATGGGTTTGTGAGGCTTACATCACTTCACGAGAATCTTAATACGATAGCACTTGTTCGTAGATCCAAATGTTATCGTGTAATACGCGTGGGTTCACGAATGCTTGCTTGCTGCTGCTGCGGGTGCTTCAACTTGATGGCTGGCACTTAAGACTTTGGCCTACAAGTTCAGCACATGCCGGAATATAAAAAAGCATTAGGCCTACTGGATTAGTTACTATAGCATACATGCTTGCCTCTGGCAGCGTGCATTTGCCTGTAGTGCGTCGTGCAAGAACAAGAATTACCCTGCACACCTGTTTCCCTTCCGGAAGGTCCTGTTGCAAACTACTATAGTCGACACTGCAGCTGTTGCGCGAGAATGGGAAATGCAGTTTAAGGCGGAGGAGCTTGTATTGAGCGGAAGATGGCTGCCAGCTGTTGAAGCCACCCCATGCTGCAACAACTGCTAAACGGCAACGCCAGCTCTAAGCATGTCACATCCCCATCTTAAAACATACATAAATGCACTAGATCATTTCTAGATGTGCGTTTGTCCCTGAATAACCAACATGCATGTAGTTCCAAATCTCTGCACAGACTTCAGACAGTGCATGGTACGCCCTCCTAACCTTTCCAATCCGGTGAGTTAGCGTACTCACTGCATCCACTCAACGTCTAGCGAAATGGAAGAAAGTGGACTGACGAGAATATTTTCAAGTACATGGCCTGCCGTGAAATGACGAAGGCGAACGGTTTGAATCGAAAGCGCTCTTTGTCCAGCGTTGACACACAGTACCCATGTATAACTACTGCAACTGCTATGGTTGCCACAACATAAAAATGAGCAGATAACTATATGCTTTACATAAAGTGAAAGCATAGCGGTTTCCCTAGCAACAGCGGTCGATCCTGCTAGTCCGCGAAATTTAACCATCGTGTGGCAGCCGGCGGCCCCACTGTGGCAATACCGCTGCCTGGATCTAGAGCTAATGAAGAAGAGTGTAATGTATGATAAATAAAGGGTGTTTCACGGATATTTTGCTTTTAAAACTGTCAATTTGCTCGAAGCAAAACGCAGCAGTGCATACACCAACCCATTCATGGGGTGGTACTATCGGGCGACACCTGCTTGTTGAATCACTGTTGCGGCGTCATTTGAAGGGAACTGGCGCATTAGTTCACAACTGCTCTTTGTTAAACAATTTGTGTTGTTTATCTTCGCTGCGTGAGTAAGCTTTGGAAATATGGGGAGCTCAAACCCTCTCCCTCCGCCTTAGCACGGCCCGGCCACCAGAAAATCAGAACCCCGTAAACAAACTTCCGCATGATAAACTAGAACATCATTGTTTACCTTTTCCCCTTGTGGCTCAGTTGCCTCTCATTCTTCTGCCTTCTCATCACAACGCCAGCTGCGTCAGCTGTTTCTTCGTTCCCCTGCAAGCGCTGCTCGCTCACCGGTGGCCAGCCTCTGTCATATATCGGCGTGCCTGCCTATATAGCTCTCTTGGCCGGCCACTGAAATGGTATAGACGGGGCTCTCCTTTCTGCAGAGGTACGGGTTTTTGGGGCCTTGACACACGTCGTCCGGGGCCCCTACCGTGTTCCGTAGTTATGCAGCTGCTTTGAGGAGTTTTGCCCAATAAAAACCTTCCTTATTTTCTGCCCAACTCCACAAGATGGGGGCTGGCATATCGCGTGCGAAGAATAAGTCCGGCAGGAATCAACAAGGGCGCCTGTTGCCGTCGCCTGCTGCACACACTCCGAGTGTTGGTGCGTCAAAGCAGCCTCAAGCAGCCCCCTTGTCTTCTTCTCCTGAGCGTTGCGTCGCTCTCTACCACAGGGATGGTGTAGAAAAGGAGAAGGAACAGGTTCCAAACAGGCTGCGGACCCTCAGGGCCCCTGGGGGCCAGACTGGGGGGCAGCCTGGGGGACCCTCAAGCCGCAGGGCCAGAGGGAACCTGCCCCGTCCCCATACCCAAAGCGGTGATCAGAGCGCTGAGGCGGTGGACGAGGTGCAGAGCACAAGTGTGATAGAAGCGCCTCTGTCTCCTGCTTCTGTGAAGGAGAGTAAAGACACTGCAGTAAGCCCTGCCAGATCGGACTTCAGCATCAACAGATCCAACTTTATTCTTGAGAATGCCGGGAAAATACAAACGCTCTACGACATCGAACCAACGACACTCGGGTCGGGCACGTACGGGAGCGTCTCCAGGGCTATTCGTCGTTCCACTGGCATGCAGCGCGCGGTGAAGACCATCAGCAAATCACAAGTGAAGAGCATCGAACGGTTCAGGAGAGAAATCGATATCATGAAAAGCCTCGTGAGACACACAGACAACAATACGCACAGCAGTGACATCCTGTACAGCATAGCATGAAATCCCGCAGCAACAGTCAGACGCAAAGGCGCCAACAGAAGCAACAAATGCTGTCGCGGCAGCGAAGGCAGTTGTAGTTAGGTTGGGGGATCCCGCGTGTCTGATGTTTTGTTGTATACATAATCTGATGCTTATGTAGCAGCGAATGTTCCTTGCTATGTTCCTTGTTTTAGGCGTGGTGATGGGGGTTTCCTTTATGTGCTTAACCGCATGTCATGCTGTCGACCCTCGTTGTGTATTTACCGTACAGCGAAGGTTGACCAGAATGTATGCGTGAGTGTTTGCCTTTTTAGGACCACCCGAATGTCGTCAAACTTTTTGAGACATTTGAAGACCACAGAAATATTTATCTCGTCATGGAGTACGTCTTCCCCGACAATCCCTTCCTATCACCCTATACCCTTAAAAGCTATGGGAGCGTGTGCACCAAAAGCTGAAGCCTGGGGATGAAGGAACCTAGCAACCGCACCTAGGCGATCTGTTCTAACCTTGCTGTCAAAACCAAGACGGTAGCGTACCCAAACCTGGGATTGAGGAGGTGTTGTTTTCCACTGATGGCACTGGTGGCCGTATAAGCGTGTACCATCCTGTGTTGATTTGTGCATCTTTCGTGCAACCTTCTGCAACGGCACATGCCTATATGGTCGTCAACCCGCCTCACTTTTTAAGTCCTTTTGCAGTTCGTCCGGGTGGATACATGAACGAGACATTGATGAACATGCTGCACATATAGTTCTTGATGGTTCAGTACATGCGTGAGTGAAGATTACAGGGCCTAGTACGTCCGTTTGTTGTCATGGTGCAATCTGCAGGTTATGTGAGGGGGGGGAATTGTTTGATCGCATAATAGCGGAGGGGCACTTTACGGAGAAGAGGGCAGCGCTGTTAATGAGGCAGGTCTTCTCTGCTGTGAATTATTTGCATTCAAATCACATCATGCACAGGTACGCTGCCTGTCTGGTGTACTTGGTTGCTGCTGCGATTTACGATGATTCATGGTGCCTTCTTTGACGAACAACTCGCTCATGTTCTAGCCTTCTTAGTGATTATGTGGTCTGGATTTGATTCAGGGATTTGAAGCCAGAAAACTTTCTCTTCTTGAGTCCAGCAAGAGACAGCCCTCTGAAAATCATCGACTTCGGTCTTTCCTGCCGATTCAAGCCGGGAGAGTTCGTATCAACCAAGGCGGGCACGGTGAGGTACCCTTTTGTGATTTCTGCTCGTTGGCCAAGCGTTACTCAGCAGGCGCAACTGGGGCGCATGTGATCATACAGACGAACCCCCTTGTATTACATATATGTGAAAATTGCCGACACACGAGCCGTTGCGTCTGTTGTACACGACATACTCAGTGTGTGCAAGGGTGTAACTGACCCGTTGACATAAACGGGCATTTGCTGGCAGTCCAGGGCCTTCAATTCATTGAGCATTGCTCTGGTGACGTTGGGCATGTGCATGACCCCCAATCGTGCCATATGTGTAGTGTTTTCATGTTTACTATCAACCTCAGACTGAGGGCATTTTGTTCCCGAACTAGATTCGCGGTTGTGTTTGTTGCGTGTGGATCATTCAGCCTTACTACGTGGCGCCTCAGGTACTGGAGGGCCGCTATGACTACCGCTGCGACGCGTGGAGTTTGGGAGTTATTTTGTACATTTTGTTGTGCGGGTTCCCCCCGTTTTACGGTGACACAGATGCAGAAGTCTTGGCACAGGTCAAGGCAGGGGCTTACTCATTTGCGGGTCCCGAATGGCGACGGGTGTCAGATGAGGGAAAAGACCTCATCCGGAAACTCCTGAAAATCAACCCAGATGTAAGCGCAGTGCTTTACTTCGCGTCTGACAGCGTTTCTGTTCAGTATGAGCATCTGCCAAATGTTCGTGGGCGCCCATGGAGTTGGGTACACGTTATATGTTGACTGCATGTGTGCTCTTTTGTTAGTACTAGGTTCCTTTCGGCGTTTGAGTAGTTGCGCCAGCAAACGCTAGCAGACGGGGCCGATTGCATTCTGTCGATTGGCATTTCTATGGTGGTTTCTGCGTGCATCGTTATATTTCCGGTACTGCAGCTGTTCCCGTTATTGATGATATTGACGGTTTATCTACTGTATCTTTGTATTTGCTGTGCGCTTTTCAGGAACGCTTGTCTGTCGAAGAGGCGCTACACCATCCATGGATTATGAGCTTAGCTCAAAGCAGCCAAAACATCCCTCTCCCTGTAACGCTCATGGCAAACCTAAAGGTAATTTTTCTACGTATTTTGGCGTGGTGTGTCGCTGGTTAGTGTTTGGGGTGTGCTGTGTATATTTCGCTTGAGGACTCCATGACTCGTATTTATATCTGTCTGCTTATGCGAATCGTCCCTCTCTACTTACCTAATGCATCCTCTATCCCCTCTAACTAGTATCTGTGTATGTGTGCATGCACCAACACTTCTGTCGTTAGCTTATCAATGTTGCCTTCGATTTGCATATTCTTCCCATATTCTCATTGTTTTGAGACCAGTATATTTTCTCGCTTGCTGTCCTTTTGGTTGTTGGCCTCTAGGGTTTCCGAGCCCAGAACCGTTTAAAAAAAGCGGCGTTAACGGTCATAGCGCAGCACATGACCGACTCAGATATAGACCATCTTCGCAAAATTTTCGTTTCTCTCGATGTTGACAACTCCGGCACTCTTTCTGTTCAGGTAACTGATAGCAACATGAATATGAGGTGTTTGGGTTGACGAGGCTTCGTGATGTTTGTATTGTGAATGATAATGAATAACTACTGGTGCATTTATGGCTCTACGGACTGCGACTAGCTGCGAAGCATCCTCGAAGTTGCGGCTTGTTTGGTATCTGTAGATGCGTTCTGTGGGGTGCAAGGCAATTGAGACTACGGCAAGGTTACTGCTGTACCGTATTTGTTGGTTCGGTTGCAAAAGCAATGCACTGTCAATGCATTACATGTTCGTAGGAAGTGGCAGAAGGACTGAAAAGATTGGGCTGGAGGGAAATCCCAGCAGACCTGCAGGCAATCATGGAGGAGGTTGACTCCGACAAATCGGGGCATATCGATTATACAGGTTTGCCTTTGATATTCTGGGCTTGGCTTGTGCTTTTTCGCAGTGTTTTCTGTTTTGGTTGGTTTGTCGTTTCCTTCGGTATACATTTAGTTTAGTGCCTGCTTTTCATTTGAGACCGATGCCGATGTTTGTCCGTGGCGTTTTTTGATGTGTGGCGTCTTTTGTTTCTCTGATTGTCAGCTGATGCACACTATTTTGTATATGGTGTCAATCAACCCGCTTTTCATTTGACCTCAGTATGCCGAGGCACATATTCTCCCATGGCTTTTCTTTTACTTGGAATATTCTTATATTTTTGCGTGCTTCTCATGTAAGTAATTAATTTCACTTGCGTTGTTATGGTGTGTTCAGAGTTTATTGCAGCGACGATGGACCGAAAGTTGTACATGAAGGAGGATGTCTGCTGGGCGGCCTTCCGCGTATTCGACTTGGTGATCCCCCACAGCAAATTAAATATCCAAATTTTTCTGTGGTAGTGTATTTTTTGTCTGTCGTATAAGTACACGCATTGGCAAAATGAACATTGCAAAAGCAGTGTACCTGAAGGTTGGTGTTGGGATGGGATGTGTTGTCATTATTGTCAAAGTTCGTGCGGTCTAAATTGAATTTAGTGACGCAATTACGATGTGTAGACAGCATGTGGTAGGTGAATTCCTGCCCATGTGTTCCCAACGTGTAATGTTTATGACATGTATAGATGCGTGTACCGTATATATCACACTTACCGTAATGTAGGCATACACAATATCAATGTAGTATATAGGATTGCCATATTTGAACAGCTTGCATGCTTTTGTCACCATACTGTTGCCTTGGTGAGCACTGTATTGCTCGATTGATTCTCTGTATATACTTTGATATGTAGAGTGTAACTGTGGATTTTTATTCGTTGAATTTGCGTTCATTCGTACACTATATTTATGCGTGGATTATTTGCAGGATGGAAACGGTAAAATTTCTCAAGATGAACTGCGGCAAGTCTTGGGCATGCCGAATGTACAGGGAGCTGTCGGTCAAGAAACAATTTCTGCTTTGTTGAAAGAAGTTGACCTAAACGGTGACGGAGAGGTAATTTCCTCGCAGCTCATCTGCTTGCTTGCATGCATATAAAGACGCTAACTGATCGGATGGGTACTCCCCACGAGCCTACAGGTGTACCAGTGTGATGTATCTGTGCCCCTGAAGTACCCAGGAACAGACACGTCGAGGCGGTACTTCTTCCGGCTTGAAGCAGAGTATCTTTTGTTTGTTCGCTTCACCCTGTTTTGTGGCATCATTTGTTTGGTGTATTCATTAGAGATATCTGGCAGTTGTTTTTCCTGCTCTGTTTCACTTTGTCATCGAAATTTACTATTCCAACGAGCTTCACATTGTTTCGCCAGGGAATTGTAGAACACCTGAACCTTATTGGACTAGTAGAACTGCCCCATGATGCGGAGCAGCGAGGACGCTAAATTTGCCATCTGCTGCTTCGCTTGTTGCCGTTGTGTTGCTCATTTTGCTGTTGCCCCCGGTGGTGTCTTCGCTGCAGATCGACTTTGAGGAGTTTATGCACATGATGAGGAAACGAACGCCTGGAGAGATCCAGAGGGAAAGGGACGCGAAGCGGAAATCGGGGAAGATATGACAAACTTGCCTATACACTGATGAAAGCTGCCGATACACTGCAACTGTAGACAGGGGCTGTTGCGTGTACACATCAGCTGTATACACTAGCTGCGTTTTCATTCCTCTAAAGTATTTATACATCCATAACTGTACGTAAGTGCGCGTATAGATCTCAACGATATATACATCTCAATTAGGCACATGAGCTGTCTGTACACTAAACTATGTGTGCAACGGCCGCCCGTACATTCACCCTGTACACGAGCGCTGCGTATCCACATGTACAAGTTCTGAGTAAACACTTGAACAGCTATTTGTCTCTCAGTGCTGTCCTTGCAGCGAGAGAAACATTTTCTCGTAAACCAGTGCAGCAGGAAGTGCACGCATGCATGCGTGCAGTTGACCTTCAGCAACGGAAACAATAATAAAGCGCGTAGTTTCTACGTTAAGTCTTGTGAATAGAAAGTGCACATGGACCAACACGGGGTGCCGTGCATTCAGCGTTTGCCAGAAGTTAAAAGCACGATAAATACAAGCACAAACGTGCTTGCTTAACAGGAAAGGCAAAAGCCTACTTGATATGCTTGTGGCTGTTAATAATGGAGCATTGGCTGTCTTTGAAGGGAGGGCATTCTGTAGCCTTCCGCTGCTGTTGCAGCTGGCTGTTGCTCCTTCGCTGCTATGGCATGCAAATGGTTTTTCCTCATTTAGAAACTCTGAAGAGTTCTCAAAACAGTTCTGGGAGAGTTGAGGTATTTCTGCAAAAATTCGAAAACTAGTACTTCACTAGGTGTGCAGCATCAACTCCAGCGCCTACATTCAAGCTATTATCCCACTAAAAGTTTATTTATTATGACCTACACCATTAACTTTAAAAGGCCACGTCTATCGCAACTACGCCAACAAGGTGCTTGAGCGATGTCGAGGTGTACAGAAAGTCCAACGCTTAGTTGCTACAGCGCCACGTGCAGACTATACACGAAGATAATCGACTGCTCTACAAGCACATAATACTTACCTCCATGCAAATGTACATATATTTTATTGAAACATGCATGCTTGTAGTAGAGCAGTTTTAAATAGACGCTTTCTGATGTCGGAAGATTCCTTTGGAGAGAGCAAAAGGTCAAGATGTTTCCCAAAAAGTGTATCAAACACTGTAGCAGAGCTACCTGCAGCAAAGTCCGCTGCAGCAGAAGCTGCTGTAGTAAAAGCTTCTGCAGCAAGACGTGCTGCAGCAAAACCTGCTGCAGTAAAAGTTCCTGCAGCACACCCTGCTGCACCCAAACCTGCTTCAGCAAATGCTGCAGCAAAATATGCTGCACCAAAACCTGCTCAACCTTCTTCAGAAAAACAGCTTGAGCAACAACAAGACGGCTGACAGTATTCCCTGCGTCACTCTTTGCTGTTGCGACCCGATACTGCAGCCAACCTCGCCTACTACAGTCACCTGCAATTCTGCTGTTGCTCCTGCTGCTGCTGCTGCAGATTGTACACCGATTAAATTAATCGCTTGTCGGTAGATATGAATGAGGTGGAAATCAACTAGGAGCAGTACGCCTGTCGAACCAGATGCAGTAAGGGGCTATGCTCAAGGAGCATCTGCTGCTTCTGCTCAGGATCTACTTCAGTAGCAGCCGATTCTTCGCCTGGCTGATGCTGCTGTACCCGCTTGAGTTCCGCCTCTCGCAGGCGTTGAACCGCCTGCTGCAGCAACGTGTTGCGCTGCAGCTGTTCATGCGCATTCAGGCTGTCTGTGTTTTCTGCTGCATGCTTAAGCGCCTGCAGCTGCTCGGGGGTCAAGTGATCAGCTGCAAACCGCCACACTTCATCTGCTGCTGCTGCTATGTGCTGCTGCTGCTGCTCCTCGTCTCGCTGTGTCTCATCGGACTCTAGAAGGTCCCCAACTTTGGTTGGCTTTTCGCCTGCATGCAAACAAATAGAATGCTGTTGTTCCATACAAAAGAGGCCTTTTCTGAGCAGCAGATAATTTCGCTACTTTGGCCTTCGTGACGAGCAACATCAATACCACAAGGTGAAGGAAGCAGCAGCAGCAACGCAAACAACGGAACCGGTCGTACACATAATATACATACGTCTGGGTGCATGCACTCAATCTTTACATAATCAAAAACGCATGCAAGTAAATGCTGCATGCATGGATTGTGAATTTCTTGCCTTTGTCTGGTCTGCCACAAATTTGAGCCTCTGTGCTGATTGGGGCTTTTGTTGCAATTTGAACAGCAGCAAACCGCTGCGGAGAGATCCGTAGCTTTGCGCACTGCTGCAGCAGCTTGCGTTCGTCACGATCCATGCCCGGAGCAGTAATAACACCTTCCTGCTGCTGCTGCAGCTCTTCCTGCTCCTGCTGATGCTGCACAGCACGCGCTGCAGCAGCAGCAGTAAACCAGCTCGCAGGCAACTCAAAAGACACCCGCTGCTGCCGATTCCACTGTACCATTCCCTGCTGCATCCACTGCCAGTATAAACCCCAATGGGGAGCGACGATGCTGCTGCTGTTGCTGCTGCTGTCGCTGCTGCTCTTCTTTCTGCCCCTCTTGGAACCACTGCTGCTGCTTTCGCCGTTGCTGCTGTCGTTGCTGCTATTGCTGGTTTCGTCTTGATCAATTGCCGCCGAGGGCTCTGCAGCAACAGTTAGAGCAGCAGGATCAGCAGCTGGTGGAGCAGAAGCAGCAAGATATCTGGAGTGCATGGCATCTGTTGCATACTTCTTCAGGCATTCGCGAGCACTCTTCATCGCTACCAGCAGAAGCGCATCTCCTTCTGTTGCTGCTGTTGATGCTGTTGCTGCTGTTGCTGCTGCTGCACCGTCTACTGCTGCAACGCGCATCTCCTGGCGTGCAGAAGAAGTGTTGTGGAACCGTCTAACGACAGGACCAGCAGCGGCAGCAAGTTGCCGCTGCTGCCAAGACACCAGAGAATGTAATGCAGATAACTGCTTATGAAGGACCTCCCGCTGCTGCACTTCTGCTGCTGATAGATCTGGCCGTGCATGCACCAACTCGTTTCCTGATGGTGTTGCTGCTGTTATTACTTCTGTTGCTGCCGCTGCTGCTGGTACGTTTCCGAGGTCTGCATCAGCCGACCCACTAGTGACAGCCTCAGCAACAGCTGCAGCTTCTGCTGCTTGTGCATCTGCAGCAGCAGCAGCAGCCCATTCCCCTACCGTTGGAGGGCGCTGCAGCCTCAGCAAATCGGCACCCTGTGGTCCCTTCTGCAGCAGCGCACCCTCTGCACGCAGCAGCTGCAGCAACAACTCGTAAGCATCAGCAGAGAGAACCCCGCTAGGGCAGGTGATTGTGTCGTATTTGCTGCTGCTTCTACTGCTACTGCCGCTGCTACTTTGGCTCTCCCCGTCAGCAACAGCAGCAGGAGGACTGGCACCTGCATCTGCTGCAGCGCTCTGACGTTTCTTTCGTTCTTTGTGCTGCTGCGACGAAGGTTCTCGTACATGCGCAAGCAGCACAATTTGCTGCAGCTGCTGCACAGAAACCCCAACTGCTGCTGCCCAGGCGTCCCAGCTGGTCACCAGCAACTGGTCTCGTTGCTGCTCCCACCGGTGCAGTAGCAACGATGCTGCCTGTACATCTTTATTTGCAATGATTGCATCTGCTGCTGCTGCTGCTGCTGTGGCAGCTGGTGGTGGTGTCGCTGCGTTTGGAGACGCTGCAGCTGCCGTCCCTGCTGCTGGTGGTGGTGTTTCTGCTGCTCTCAGAGCCGTTCTTGCTGCCAGTGCTGCTGCAGCTGCTGCTGACGTCGCCGGTGTAGTCGCTGCTACAGTGCGTCCTGCTGCTGGTGACGCTGCTCTTGGTGCAACATTTGCAGCTTGTATTGACGCAGCTGCTGCACCATTTGTTGTGCTGCCCCTCAGCAGCACCGATGGCCGCAGCAGCAGAAAGGCACTTCGGTGTGTGGTGGTTGTTCTGTGTTTGTTTGGGCTTGGGAATATTTCTCTTTTCCTCTTGTGTATTACTCGTGGTTGTGAGCAGTAAAAGGAAGGCGAAAGCTGTCTACTGCTCGAGTATATCGACAGCTTCTGCTGCTGTATACCGCTGCAAAACAGTGGCAGCTCCACGAGAAAGAGCAGCAGCAGTGCCGAGAGCAGCAATGGAAGCCCCTTCCAGCAAGACAAGCTGCAGATAGCTACAGTCATTGGCTGCCCTGTGCTGCTGCTACTGTTGCTGCGTTTATTGCTGCACTCGGTGCTGCAGCTGCTGCTGCAGCAACAGCAGGGAGCGTTATTCGAGCAGCCTGCTCATCTTGACGGCGAGACCGTCGCACGGGGCTCAGCAGGAGAAGAAAACGGATAATTTTTGTTTAATTATCAATAATGCAAAATAAAACAATTACAAGCATGCAATTGAAACTCTCCTATAAGGGGAGATTTGTATAAAAGGAGAGGAAATAATTAACCCGCGAACACGAGTAATGGGGTGTCTGCCACGGCGAGCATCAATTGTTGTTGAAACCGCATTTAATCTTTCTTGCATTTGTTTGTTAAAAAGACAAACTAAAGAATACCAAATAATTTAAAGGAGACATAATTTAAATATATACATGCACGTGAAGTGGGGACAATACCTACAGCATGCGGCGGGTCTGTCTGTCTGCGCATCCGTGTTTTCCCTTGGTGCATTTCTTTGCCTTTTTGTTGCTGAAGTTCTTTTATTCTTGTATTTATTGAAGTAAATGGAGTAAAATTCCCTTTTACATCACGCAGATCCCCTTGAACAGGCGGTCACCTGCTGCTGTTTACTGCAGCTGCTGCGCGCCGCAGCGTTCCTACACGTCGTTTCTGTGCTCTTTCTTGCTCTTTTTCTTATTTGGAGTTTTTCTTGCCTTTAAAGAAGTAAAATACCCTCATAAAAGGCTTAAAAGAGGAGTGTTCCTTCCCATCTGCCTTTGACGCCGGTTATTGCTATAGTTGTCTGGCGTAAATAGTATAGAATTTGAATATAGATAGAAACGGGCTGTTTAAGAGTTAGTCTATATAAGCAAAATGAAGGAACCACAGGAGATTGAAGTAAAAGAAGAAGAAAATGTTCATCACCATCATCATCACCACCATCACCACCATAAAGGGGAGAGTGTATACAGCGAGTATCTCTTCCTTGGGTGTATACTCAGCGGTATATACGTATTTTTCCTAATGTTTGGTTACTACCAAGAGAAGCTTTATAGCATGAAACATCCATTAACTGGAGAACGTTTCTCATATTCCTGTTTCCTTGTGCTTACTGGTTGTATATCTAACGCCTTTTTCTCCTTCTTGTTGTTGCTGCTGCAGCACAGACGCAGGGCTCTCCATCTGCTGCTGCAAACAAACAGAAAAACTGTTAGAGATATTATTTTTATTTCCCTCTCATATTGCGTCTCTATGTTATCTACTAACTATGCCCTTACCCATATTAACTACCCTACACAAATCCTCGTCAAGAGCGCAAAGATGGTACCGGTGGTTGTTGGTGGATTCATATTCTTCGGTAAGTAAACCCTAAACCCTAATCACTAAACCCTAAACCCTTGTCATTTGATAGTTAGTTTATAGCATTAAACCCTAGACAGCAAACCCTTAACTTTTTTACGAGACGCAGCTGGGGAAACCCTAAGTGCTACTACTCCTAATGCATGCATCGTAATGCCGTTGTTGCTGCCGTGATTAATGATTGGCTGTATGCATACGTGTTAATAAATGTATATATATGCACATATAAATGTGCATTATGTATGTATATACAAGAATAAATATGTTTAGTCTATAGCGGATAGGAAATATCAGCACCCGTTAAGGTGAATAGAAGAGAATCCTTAAGAGCCTGTTCAAGATGTCAGCAAGGGTTTAGGGTTTAGGATTGAAGGTTTAGGGTTTAGGGTTTGTGTATGTATGCGCGTGTATATAGGGAAGACGTACCCTTGGCAAGATTATCTATCTGTGTTTGTATTGACACTTTCTTTGGTTGTTTTTCAATTATGCAAGACAGAGGTAAAGGCAATAAAAGGAGAGGCAGCACAAAACTCTTTATTAGGGTTAGTAGCATTATGTGTTTCTTTATTGTGTGATGGATTGACGGGGCCTAGACAAGATAAATTATTAGAGAGAGAGAAGCATATAAGCCCATTGCTGCTCATGTTGCTGACGAATGCATGCGCTGTATTGTGGGCAGCAGTAGCAACAGCAGGAGCAGAAGGGCTACAGCCCCTGTACTTTTTCCAGCTGCAAGGTGATGCTGCAGGATATTTGTTTGCTTTTGCCGTCTGCGGCTCCTTAGGTCAGCTCTTTATATATCAGAGCATTAAAAGGTTTGGTAGTCTATACACCTCCATGTTTACTACATTAAGGAAAGCAGCATCTACTCTTTTCTCTGTGTATATATTTGGCCATAAGTTAAACAGCAAGCAATGGATTGCCTTTGCTGCTGCATTTGGTGTTATTCTCTTGCAAACATACGTCGGTAAAAAACAGAAAAATAAACACAAAAAAGAAGCACACAGCGGCAAAAAGGTTAATTAAACCAACTTACTGGGTGCACACAATTAGCTACCCATTCTTTTTTAAACTCTTTTCTTTTCTGTTACTTAAAATAACTCCTCTTCTTCCCCTTCTGGGTGTCGCATAGCACAATACAAATTGATTAGGCCTTGCAGCTTATTTTTACTCTTAAACATAATTAGTAACACTAAACGTAATTACTAACGGAAAAAAAACAGTGGAGGAACAGCAGCAGAAGAGCAAGAACTTCACGAAGGTTGACGAAATAAAAGGACTAAATTAACATTTCTTCAGTTTACATTCCAACGGCATAAAGGCAAACACTTGTTGTATTGAATACAACTAGAGGCCGATAAAGTTGGTTAGTATTAGTAGAACAGGCTGTACGTGCATGCATAATCTTCTTCTATAGTTATACCACCGGCAAGTCTTCCTGCCAGGAGCACTGCCCTAAAGGGAATACTGCTGCTAATTAAACTAAGAATAAAAATATAACTAGGCGGCAATACTAAAGGGTAAAGAAGAGCAACAATAAGAAACTCTTGTGATACGAAATGGTGGACTTAGTGGGTTGATCTTCTTTGAAGCCAACGGGCAGAAGAAGAAGACAGCTTAGACAAACATAAAAAACAAGAGTTTTGCGCAAGGCAATAGGCAGTAAAGAAGCAAATAAGGGTTTTAATTTAGTTTGTTTATTTGTCTACTTATTTAATTATCTAACGATCTGCTGCTCGACAAAGTTTTCGCGAGCAAAAACGCCAATGTCGGTGCGGCCAAACAAACGCCAAAATATATTGATGAAATGCATACAATCAGCGCATATATATTATGTTTTTTTTGTATAGTTTATATACAAATGTAGACACGCATGTATGTGTATATGCAAAATATATACACGCAGACGTAGATAAACGTACAGAAGTTGATGTGTTTGTGGGGAAGGAGAGCAACTGAAACTGTGAGAGTTTTAAATTGTACAATACTAACTAAATTAACATATTAGTTGGCGACAGATCGTTAGATAATTCACCAAATTACTTGTTAAGTGCAGCGTTTCTCGGGAGATGAACCCAAAACTCATTTCTTCTAAAAATGGGGAGGCAGAAAGGAGAGTTGTACAGCTCAAGAGTAACTTGGATTTCTTTATTTTCGCTTGTATCTTTTATTTTGCCTTGTTCCAATTGCTTAAATAACTCATCGTCATCTGTGCTGCAAGGCGAATTACTCCCATCTCGACCGCCTCCCCCTCCTCCGCCGCTGCCGCTGCTACTGCAGGTAATCAGCCCATCTTGCAGCAGCGACCGCAGAAGCAGCAAAATCTGTTGCCTAAGCGGAGGCTGAGTAATCGTTTTGTCCAAATCTACCGACCCCGAAAAGCGGCGAGCTGCAACAAATCTCTCTTCTGTTTTCTTCAACTGCACTTCATTTGACAACGGAGGAGGCAAAGCAGCAGCAGCCGTCTGCAGATGGCACAGAAACACTCATAAAAGCTCCATATGACAGACAAACGAAACAATACAGAAGCTTAACAGTAGCACAAATACACAGACAAGGACCAACGAGGAATTACCAACCAGGAAGGCCTCTATGCGTGGTCTTTCCTGAGGGGTATTTCCAGTGAATACATTCAGTTAATATGCATATTAACACATTTAGGGCATTTACAGCAGCTGGGTTGGAAAAACAGCAAGAAAGGGAAACATTTAAGCTTTGATTTACTGCCTTGGGGGGGAAGAAACGCATAGCCTCGAATCCGTCTCCCTTGACGATACACTCAACAGGAGTTGTCATAGGAATTTTCTTTGCTACAAAATACAAAAACAGGGAATAAACGTTAACACATTATAGCGCCTCCACGGAAAAAAGAACAATAATTTAGACCCTTAAAACCTAGCCACATGGCAAGAGGCACCATAACAATTGTATCCACTGTTTGGTGCCATTTTGCTCAATAAAGCGCAGCAAAGTAAATTGCTCTTTTTGTCTCTTTCAGTCCGTGAGGACCAGAACATGTAAGAAGGATTAATATCTAGTATATGCATTGGCTATAATTAGCCAACAGCAAGAAGACTAATTAGGGTTTAATTACAGCATGAATTATGCCCAAATAAATCACGTTTACCTCCTTCATTCATTGGCTTGTCAAAAACGCCAATATAATTAGCCAGGCGATAAAAAGACTGTCGCGAATCTTCTCCCCATGTTGTCTGCATAACAAAAAAAATAAACTAATTAATTAATAAATTAGCGAACTAGGTTTCCCGATGAAAGTAGTGAATCGGCTTATCGCAAAAATCTAACTGAAAATCACCGTGTGTACTGAATAGCACAAGTTACACAATAGAGTACAATATAGACTATACAAGGCGTATCCATGCAATAAAAACAAAATAAGAGCTTTATTGAAATACTCCACTTGTTGTTTTGTATTTTTTGTCATCTTCAAACCCCTATGACAGGAGGCACTTCATAATGCCTTATTTCCTAAATTGCGTTTCTGTGATGAATAAAACACGCTAAATGCATCTAGTTTTATACTCATTTCCTACCTCGATAATGGGAGTTGCTTCATAATGCCTTATTTCATAATTAGGTGCCTCCCTGATGACTGCATAGGACAAAGTTTCGGCGTTTTCCCTCCCAATGACGGACCCCATCTTCAAGGACAGACCTGTAGAAAGGGGGAAATAATGCTTAGAAATATGCCTAAAAAGGGCGATTCTGTGGTGCATTGATGCACTAAAAAGGCTTAAAAGGCTTTATGGACCTTCGTACCTAGATAAACAAAGAAAAAGCAACAAAAATTTGTAGGAGCCTAGTTGAGTGCCCTTGCTGGTCTGTTGGTGGGGTGTGCAAGAAAAGACAAAAATAAGAGTAAAAAGATAATAAAAAGTACACCAATAGCTGTCAAGTCAAATGATTTATTGCGAAACAAAATACTTGCGTCAATATTTCATAAATTTCAGAAACTTTGCGAGCAAAACGTTGCAAAAACAAAGAAATCTTTGCTCTGTTTCCCCGCGGGCAGTTCGATGTCAGTGGCGCTCTCTATGGCGCAAGCGCCTGTTCATTGATGATTTTTTGCCTTTGTTTGCTGAATTTAACCAATTTTTTTGTATTTTTGAAAATTATATTTGATCTCCGTAATAAAATTGTTTCCTTCCTGTCTTCACAGACGTCACACACTCATTTTGTGCCCTGTTTCCGTTGTTGAGCTCAAGATAACCAGCAGCAATGGCTGCAGTTTGTGTCTGGCATCTGTTTTTCTGGGGTTACTAAATGTCTCTGGCGTCTTCCCCCATTTGTTGGCCTTTTTAGAGTAATTTAATAATTTAAATACATTTATTACATTTATTCCAAACATTTCATCCATTTAATTTGCTAAAATATTGCAATGTTACGCACACACGGTCGCGTTGTCACATCCCAGCCCCCTTCCTTTAGCTGTCTGACTGCATGCGCTTACAACCCTTGCTGCTCCCTTTTTTAGTTTAAATTTTTCGTGTTTATGAATTTTACATTTATATTCGATGGAGTTACGCTCAAATGGACAACCCCGAACACCCCACAACTGCACAGGAAGCTGCTGCTGCAGCAGCAGCAGCAGTATTTAAAAAGAAGTTTAACAATGAAGTACCACAAGTTGTCGCTGCTGCCCCTGGAAGGTAAAGCCAAGAAAATGGCTAACTGCAGCATTATATAAGTCATCGCATGCATGCGTATTCCTATATTAGGGGGTGTAAATCCATGTTTTTATCCTTGTTCTTTTACTATTGTTCATGAATATATCTAAATTGACACAGAAATATGCAAAATTTATATTTATATACTTGTGTAAATATGGATATATACGTGCATACATATATGTATATGAATATATATCTGCATGCATAGCCCATAATACTGAATAGGAAGCCGCTGCCATCAAACATACGACGGCTGCAGCAGCAACAGGACGCGCAGTAGCCTAAGCATTTAACGTAAACTATACTTCGTTGGTAGGCATATTTCTGCATAATAAACAGAAACTATTTGGCTTATGCCTTCCTGATTATAGGGGTTTCCTGTTAGGGTTTACGTTTTAGGGTTTATTGGCGTTAATTCCTGTTCTTGGTTCCTCCTTGTTGGTTTATTGGGGTTAGATTTGTTCAATTTGTTGCTGTTGCTTCCTCCCTATCCGTTCGCTCCTTGCCTGTTATATTAATCGTGTCTAGTATCTGTAAATTAATCCATTAATGTTTTACTATTTTAATTGTTGTTTAATTATCTGTATGTTTATTTTTGTTTGTTTAATTTGCTTTGTATTGTCATGCGTATTTCTTCTGTTGTTTGCCGCTTCTTGCTGTTTTGCTCTATGGCGTGCTCTTTCCTTACTCCTTATATTTAGCTATATATGCTACCTGCTGCTTGCTTATTGCTTTTATTGTATATTTTTGTTTATTTTTGCTGTTTTTCTTTGAAGGGTTTGTATAATTGGCGAACACATTGACTATAGCGGGTATAGTGTACTAACTGCAGCAATAGAGAAATACTGTTGCTGCGCAATGTCTTCCTATAACGTACAAGTAGACAACAAACAACAGAAAAGAGAGATAGTTTCTTCATTAAGGGTAGAGGACGGTAGTGATGAGCAAACGGCAACAGCAACAACAGCAGGAGCAGCAGAAAAAACAGGAGAAACAACAACAGCAGCGCACGCACAAGACACAGCAGAAGCAGCTGCAGCAGCAGCACAAGAGTACGATGAGAGTGCCGAGGCTGAAGGTTCCCCTCCAAAGAAAATACGTTTAGAAGAAAGAAGGGAGGAGGAGGAAAAAAATACAGAAAGAAACAAAGATAAAAGGGAAAATAACACGAACAGCAGCAAGTGTACAGAGGTTGGCAGCAGCAGCAACAGTAGTAACAACAATATAGGAAATACAAGTACAAATAATAGTAATAATAACAAAGATAACCAACAAACAAACAGCAGTAGGAGCAGTAGTGGTAAGGGAAGCAACAATAGACAAGAAGAGGAAGAAGAGGAAGAAGAAAAAGAAGAAGAAGAAACATACAAAGGCAACAAAGAATACTTTTTATCTGTTGTGCATGCGGATGAATGTTGCCATTCTTCTTTTTATATAAAAAAAGCAACAATGGTATATGATTTGTTAGAGAGTTGTATACAAGAAATAGCAGAAAAAAACACAAATAAAGGGAATATAGCGAAGAATACAGCAGCAGAAGACGACAGTACAAGACACGACGAAGACACAAAAGAAGAGAGAAAGAATAAAGAAAAAGAAGAAGAAAAAGAAGAAAAAACAGAGAAACACAAGGAGAGTAGGAGAGGAGAGGAGAAAAAAGAGCAAAAAAAAGAAGAAAATAAAGAACGCAATAATTGGAGGGTTTATTTCTTAGCAGCAATTGTTGCAGGAATTGAATTTGTTATAAATAATTACAATAAAATACAACAAGAGGGGAGAAATAAATATATTAATGAAGAAATAAGTGAGGAAAAAGGAACAAAAGAGGAAAAAGGAACAAAAGAGGAAAAAGGAACAAAAGAGGAAAAAGGAGAGAATAATAGAGAGGAAGGAACAACAAGAAAAGAAGAAGAAAATAATTATTGTTTATTAATTGGACAAATGAATAAACAATTATTTTTATTAAATAAAAATAAAATAAATAAAATATTTAATAATATTATTATTAATGCTGCTGTTTATGGTGATTTACCTCAGGTATTTATTCTTCTTTTCTTCCTCTTTTTCTTCTTTTTTTTTTTTCTTTTTTTTTTTGATTTTTACCTATTATTTATTCTTTTATTTTTCTTCCTATCTTTTATATCTTTGTCTAATTCCTATTTACTTCTGTACGTATTCTTCCTTGTCTTTCTTCTTTTCTTTATTTTCCCTTTTTTGTTTCCTATGTATGCTTATAGGATTTGTTGTTGCTTTTTTTGCACCTATTCACTTTATTTATTTATTTATTTATTTATTTATTTATTTATGTATTTATTTGTTTATTTGTGTACAGGGTGCAGGCCTTTCTTCTTCTTCTGCATTAATTATTGCTGTTTTTTCTTCTTTTCTTTCTTGTTTACAAATTAAATTAACAAATATACAATTGGCTTCTCTTTGCATGCAAGCAGAGAAATATGTAGGCATACAAGGTACATAATTCTTTTTTTTTTTATTTTTTTTTTGTGTATTTTTTTGTGTTCCCCTTGTTCTTTTGTTCTTATTTGTTTATTCTTTTGTTATACGTTTTGCCTTATGTGCTTGTTTTTCTTTTTTTTTTTTTTGCTTTATGAATTTCCTAGGGTTTAGGGTTTAGGGTTTAGGGTTTAGGGTTTAGGGTTTGTATGCAGGTGGTGGTATGGATCATATGTCGATATGTTTATCTTTTTCTGGTTTTGCTTCTCTTATTGAATTTAATCCATTAAATACATTTTCCTTAAAATTACCTAAAAATATAACTCTTGTTCTTGGTTATAGTGGAGAAAAAGCAAAAAAAATTATTAATAAACATCTTAGGTATAACCTAAGGGTATTAGAAACTAAACTTGCTGCAATTTTATTACTTACGTAAGAAACAAATAAACCCTAAACCCTAAACCCTAAACCCTAAACCCTAAACCCTAAACCCTAAACCCTAAACCCTAAACCCTAATTTCTCCAGTAACCTAATTGAACTAAATGATTAATAAATGAGGAAATAAACAAAGAATACCTATATATTATACTTAGCTATAAACTACGCAAAAAAAAGGAATAAAATAATAGACAAAGAGGGAGGAAATAAGCAAAAAAACTCTATATAACATAAACCCCTATATGAATAGCCAATGAGTTTCTTCTTCCTTTTTCCCTTTATTTATCTTTGTTACATTACTACTTTCCCCTTTTTTCCCCTTTTATTCCCTTTTTGTTTGCCCTTCTTGTATATTTATATTCAGGAAAAAAGATCCTGTTGCTCTTAATAACATAAAAGACTACAAAGAATTAACTCTGCAAACAGCACACAAAATATGCTTCGGATCCCTAGAGGTATAAATAAATTAAATAAATAAATAATTAGTTAATTAATTTAATTGATTAATATATATATATATATATATATTAT